TTTTAATATTAAATTTGCACCCCGAATATCCGGGACAAAACGCTTTTTCGCAAATCCACCCTTGGCTTTCGGCACTTAAATTTTGGGCTCAGCTAACCCCCCCCCCCCCCCCCCCCCCAAAACAGATCGACTCGAATCTTATAACTGGATACATAGCAAAATCGACATGAGATCCTTCTTACTATTGGCTGTCGTTGATGTACAGATCCCTTAAACCAAACGTGAGATTCTTCCCACCGTCTGGAATAGATTACCGCATCCTGCACGCCAAACACATAACACGTGAGACGAGAAAAAACCAAGGTCGAGTCGTAGGAATGAATACATAGACCCGTCCGACCACGACAGCATGTTGAACGAAGGAGGCGAAGCGGTAGCATTAGCTATAGCCCAAAAACAACATGGTCAACCCCTGCTCGGCTTTGTACCATCCATAGTATAAGACATGTCAAAAGCCATAAACACTAATCACCAACGAGCATAGACTTATTCAGTACGTCGACACATGCCAGAAGCCATGCTAAGGCATATCCATATTACCTAGTCTGTACCATCTCGGAATCCGGAAAGCTCGTGTTTCGTCCACGTTGCAAGACGGCGGAAACACGCAGCCCATCCTCGCGGGACGTACCACCCTTCACCTTCCACCCCGCTCTCCCGTGTGACGGCAGGCCTGGATCTTTCCGAACCGCCGCGCCATAATAGGTATATATGCCGCACTCTACTGCCAGACCGCTACGTCTGAACATATTCTTCTAAAGCCGCTATCCGCCCCCGGACAAGGAGCATCCCTGGCCCGGACGGAAAACAGGACGTCGTCTAATTCAAGGGCCTCTATCGATATATTTGGCCACCTCCACCAACGCAGTTATATCGTCACGTTTATCTTCCCAGTCTCTGCTGAGTATGGATATGATCGGTTGGAATCGGTTAGGCATGATATAAATACAAAGCGCCATCTCGGCCTCGGGTGCGTAAAAGCCACTCTTGTCCCAGCCCACTATCCAGAGCTCGCCCTTCTTGTCGCGGATAAAGCTGCCTGGGTCCAGTTGCATGTTCCCCAGGACAAGTTCATTTACCGCTAGTCTACTAAGTGGGACGACCAATGGCCCTCGTGTGGCATTGACAATGTCAATTAAGAGCCTGATATATGCCTCGTATTGCCGCCTGTCAAGATCAAACACGGGGGTGAGTCGTGAGTGTATAAACACTTTGGGGCGGCCCAATCCTAGCGGACCGGGATGCGGAGAGGTGATTTTTTGCATCAGCTTGATCAATGAAGCAATTTGTGTGGATATGCTATGCTGCCTGCTAGTCGAGAGATGAGGCCAGATCTTGTATAGGTTAGAGCCCTCGATGTAGTCCATGATGATGAAGATATGCTTCGTGCGAAGGTCGCGGAAGACCTTGTGGACCTTGGGGACGTGATCTCTCAGTCCATCTAGCCCCTGGATAAACCACATCATGTCCGCCTCGACCTGAGTGACACTTGGGCCCTACTTGGCCACCAGGTTAGGGGAGATGCGTGATATACAGTTTCGCGTTGTTTTTTGAAAGCACAAGACCGGAGAACGATGCCAGTTGGTGATAACCGCGGAGAGAATACCATCAGGCATTTTCATGATTTGCTCCGTGGTATACTTCCTAAATGGATATGGAAACGTCCGTTCGATCCCTACCAGCTAAAATGGGGTTAACTACCCAGCTAACAAGAAGCGAATGACGGTACGAAACTTACATCACAAATCATGAGTTGATTATCCTCGCGGCCATAATCGTTACAGGCAGTCCAACGAGATGGTATGGGCACTGCTGGGCATTGAACAATAGCTGGGTACCAATGGGACCAGCCCCGTGGAAGCTCGAACCAGGTAGACGGAAGAATCGGCTCAGGCGGTAACGTGTCAGGGGGAAGATTAAACAAACGCCGAGGCTTCTCACGGTAGAAATAGTCAGGATCATGGTCGTCTCCCATCGTGTCTCAGTCTGTTGTTGTTTAACTATTCAATCAAACCAATAACTAGCATACTAATGAGAATGACGCCCCGGGCTTTTCGAGAGCGGAGCAAGCGAGAGAACTTGGTAAGCTTGAGATGATATTGATGAGCTGATCCAGATAACTTAAGAAGCAGTAGGGTAAAGGAACTGGAAACCTACCTGGGTATCCAGATATCCAGAGAGCAACACAGCGCCTTCTCCAGACTTAACTTAGAACTCTAAGCAAAGACTTACCGTGCCTTACCTTACTATCACTATCGTCCCTACCTTCTTACGTCGAGTCTAAGAGAGACCCAGCTCAACAACTCCTAAAGTCGTGTAGAAGCCAGTCCAGTAAACAACGATGACATTTCACAGTCTCGTGCTTTCTCGAGATATCTCTTCTGGTAGCACATCTGTGGGTTGCTCGCTCGGAAGTATATAAATAGAAATATTTTAGTAAGTCGACACGGAGGGGGAGGGTGTGAAGTTTATCAACCGCTTCTACACGTGTAGTATTCGGTGGAATTTTCGGTGAGGAAAGATAATTCTAGGTGGCTACCTTAGATATATAACTATCTATCGCTACCGTCTAGTTTGCAACTTACTACTACTAGAGTTTGCGATGCTGTTGGTTAATTAGGATTTGTATAAGTCAAGTAGTAAGCGCGGAGACGGAAAGTTCGATTTAGCTGACTTCAATTAACTAGCAGCAATGTTACATGCGATAAGTGGATGCTCACGTCGTATCTTCGATTACATAACACACACTAGACTGTATTTATCGTATCAGGTTATCGTATCAGGTAAATTCCAATAGCCTAACCTAGATGGTCGGGCCCAAGCTTTTCCGGGAACGAACATTAACTTCCATCGGCCATTCCATCCCGTCCCGCTCCTTGCAGTGGAGTCTCACTACCTGTATACGGCTTAGCCCGGTTCGTATGTTGCTATTTTCTCTTCTCGAAACGTTCGTCCATAAGCACCGCTGTTAATTTTACGACTTTTCCCTCTTCTCGTAGAGACAAGGTAAAAGGCTATTACCTAACCCTCGCCTAGTCAACTCTCGTATCCCCCCTAGCGATTTTATTAGCAGTTCGCATTTATGTCTGTCAAAACTGTCTAATAGTCTTGGCAAGATGGCCAAAGCCCGAGGGAGCCTCAACGAAAAAAAAAAAATTTGGTCAATTTCAGCCACTCGATTTTCGTCTCTTTCACTCGGGGTCGTTGGCACGTAGATGACGGTTCCTTGTCAGCAGCCCCGTTTGCGTGTCTGACAGGTCCATCCGCAAACCATTAGCTTTCCAGGAGGGTTCAAGTCACCTTTCGTCATGCCCCCCCGGTGATGGAACCACAGCCACAAGCTCTGCATCACTCAGCATCCTCAGCCGTGTCACATCTGTGAGCACCTGAGCGTATCTTAACTGCGATAGCCACATAATACTACGTATAGTAAGTCCATCGGGCTTTCAGCTCACACATGTAAGCCTTTACTGTGGCGTGCATAGGGCGAAAGAGCTGCTGCATATTATCCCCCGAGTTCTTGGTGTTCTTGGTGTTCTTGGATCCAGTTCTTGGATCCAGTCTCCAGTCTAAGCTTAGCGGGTATCCATCCATCCATCGATTTATTATTTACTATGTATATTACGGAGTACCGCTGCTCATCTATTTATTATGAATCTATCGTCCTGTCTGATCCTTCTCTTTTATAATCCATGTTACTTAACCTTCACTTGTTACGTCTCATCTTAAAAGATCGCCAAGGAGGATTCTTCCATCTACCTAAGTTGCATTGATCCTCCGAGCTTAAATTATCAAATAGAGTCAACCCGCCAACTTTCAGTCTCTCCCTACGACTGTTGGATATCTCTGGGTTACGGCGTAGCGAAACCATCAAAGATGCACTTCAACCTATTATTACCTATCATAACGGCTTTCTCGTTACTGGGAGCTCTGGTTCACGGCTCGCCCATCATGTGTCCAGACGTGAGTTTGCGTAAAGGAATATACCAACACTATATCACTACTAACAGTCATCTAGTCGAAACGAGATGCGATCCTTAGCGGAGCAATGCCGGCAGAAGAATGTTGCAGTTACGGAGTCTGTAAGAACACAGTCGTGATCGCGATGGGACGTGCACAGGAGAAAGACAGTTCGGCAATCCGTTACAACGAAAGGCGGTGACGAAACGAAACGAGAATCGATGTTTCCCCTAAAACAACAAACACAAGCAAACACTCATCAACATCAAACCCCAGCATGAATATCGGCGTTTTCTCTCTCTAGTGGTCCTGGCATTATCATGGTCATTACCATGGTTAACTGGCGTTCGGTGTGGGGCTCTTGGCGCCCAAAAATGAAATTTTTTTTTCTTTTTTGTGAGATTGGATTTTATCGGCTTCCAATCAACACACGCATTTGGCCGATAGGGTGAGATGGAAGCGTCTGCATTGCATACGGTGGAGTTTATCATTGACGTTAGATACGATAAGGGACCTCGACGCGAAGAGACGACGTTACATGCCATCTTCGAGAATACCCCCCCAAACAGTTAGAAAAAAGACTAATATCGAGTGGCATCTTGATAGCTTACAGTTTATAATACGACTATGAGGCTGAATTCCTCTGAATTAACTTTACTTTAATATTCACACCAGATTCTGTCTAAATAGGCATTGATTCATCACGAAGACTACTAAGCTCAGTAACCTAGAGCATAAGATAAGTGAGAAGTGAGAGTAAGAGTTGAGTGATGAGATGATTATTGTCCGAGCAACATGGTGGATGCATCCTGAATCGGCCGAAGCCAAGCGAATAGCGCGAGCCATTTGTGCTATCTTCTCGTATCTGCACTGACAACAGATGCGGCTACATTCTGATAATGCAACTTACAAACGTACATCACGCCTTCTGATCGCTGCTATTTTTGACGTATCTTGCATCGTCAACATTCAAATCGACCCATAGTCCCGGACTGAAAGCTCCAATACGCCAGCAGCTAATATGGAAGCTCATGCAGAGTCTATACATCTTGTCGGCACCACGTGTAACTACGGCCAAATTCTCATTTGCCATGGTAATCTTTTCTCAAACCAGCAGTAAAACTTGCTGCTGATAGACTGAGATCCAAGTTACTTACTATACCATATCGAAGCATAGTCTCGAGCACTCGTCATAAAAGCGTCAACTTAGATGCGGCTAGGGCGCAACTAGCAGGCATATAATAACCTAATAACTCTTTCGTTTACCCATATCTTATATTTCGACAGGCGGCACTTTACCTATCTTTCAACACTTGCGATTGCTAGCTCATCTTAGCTCGGACGCTTTGGGTGCGCAGAGCAGTATCTCGTGCGGGACGAATATATTTATGAACTCGTATCGTCGGTCCAGCTGATATGGCTCGGCGCTCGGCGACGTTAGCTAGTCTGAGTAGCGTCGCGAAGACTTGGAATTCTCGTCAAGCTTTATCAGATGCTGCTAGCTGTAGCTCGAAGGTGGTGTCTGGTTGGTAGGTTTTAGCGAGCGTGGAGCTGAATCCCGTCTGATAGAGGCTCTTAGGTATGTCATAGGTAGGTAGGTCAGCTTGCTAGGTACCTGATGTTGCCTGACAAGACCTTGGTAATTCGCCGGGTCTTACTGGCCTGAGAGGTAATTATATGTAAATATTTATCACTTACCTACCTAAGTACCTATGTTACAACTCGTTGCGAATAAGTGGTTGGTGTGCACTACTACACTATTAATATCCTCTTCGTATTTCCACACGTTAGATTCTATAGTTAGCGTATGACCGTGCAAGAGTTAGTACATTACATAGGTACTTATCTCGGAATCAAGCCGAGTAAATCCTGTTCTTACATCATAACTACCTAAGTTATCCCGTACTTCGACAAGTTCGCTTGATAACTACATGTAGGTACCTATGCCGTCAACATACGATAAATACCCGTATCAGCGGGGTCGATATAATGTAAGTCAGTTAGCATCAATTAGTATACATAGCAATTGATCTTTTTAAAGCTAGACCAGTCCGCTAGCTGAAAGAAGGCTTATCTTAGCAGCAGCTTAGGTTAGGTACCTAGGCCAGGTACCTCAATACCTGGGTACTTCCTAGGTAGCCTTCAATGGACAGGAACAAGGGCCGCTAAATGCAAGCTCCACTTCGTAATTGCAATTAGGGCATGCACACCTACCTACCTAAACTAAACCCAACCGCCATCACAGCCAATATAACCACTCACAACAAATTAACTTTCACGAATCACATCAGAGCGTCTGGTGCAATAACAATCGTGGGGGCTTGTGGTTTAGTGGTATAATACTCCCTTAGCATGGGAGTGGTCCGGGGTTCGATTCCCCGCGAGTCCATCCTTAGGAGGTTAGATTCCTCTTGTACCAACTTTTTTATTTTTATTTTTTACTTCTTGCAATTATCACCAGTCTCTACTTCGCAGTACGTTTTAGTTTAAATATCGTTCTCTGCAGCTTCAACTTCTTGGTCCTCTTTTTTGGCAGTTCATGTTTAATAGCTCTAACACGTGAAAATAAAAGTCGATTATACATACCTTAGACCATCTCATTGCTTGGTCTACCTGATGTAGCTATCGCCCAGCTGGCTACTCAAGCCCACTTGGAATTAAGATATCTGGAGCTGACGGACATGTTTTCTTTCATTTTATATGTGTTAACCCTTCATTTTATTTCCCGGACTTGGGCGATGAATACTAATGTATAACGTCACCACCTGGCATCTAGAATAGCCCAAGACTTCGACTTAGGAGCGCCCATCTTCACCCAACTCAGCCCGGAAATAGCTCACATCGAAGCAGTCGTATGTAATATACAATTAGAACGATCAAATCTTAATATCGCCCTGTAAATTCTCATCGCTATGCTCTATGCCCATTCGAATATTTACACTAATTTCTTTTTATATACCATCCTCTCAAACAACACTACCCACCCTTTTTCCAGCTCAATTATCGTAACTTCGTGCCCACCTATCTACCATCTTCACCTTCTATTTGCTACTCAAAGCACGACGATATTGCTAATCTTGAGCCCCTGGCTTTCAACGTGGTATCTCCTCCGCAGACCCAAACTCCTTGTCTTTTGTAACAACTCGTACGCCTCCTGCCCACCTCCCGTCATCAGCATGGCGATTGGATGGTGTCGGGGGAATCCCGAGGGGGTGCGCTGCGGCTCGTCGAGCAGTGGTCGGATGAAGTTGAAGCCCCACGGGTCGTCCTTGTTTTCGTCCAGTGCGTCTTTATCGTCCGACACGATGACTACGAGTTGTAGCGCGTTGTGGTTCGGTGCGAACGACGGTATATTGGCCAGCTTCTCCGAGAACGAGCACCCGCCTCTTCGCATCACGATTACTTGGTGTGCTCTCGGCGCTTCGTCGGGGAGCCTACTACCGCAGGCCTGGTCGGCGAAGAAGAGGCGTTGCCAAGATAGGGACTCGATATACGGAGTCGTGTTCGGGTTGGGAGCTTCGCGTATGTCAGGTAGAGAAGCAGCACCTACCCCTACTGGTGTAATCCCGGGTAGCTCGACATACTTGTAATCTGGCTTCTGTACCGGTTCGGGCCTGAAGGTAGCGACGGGTTCCCGCAGAGCAGACGTAATCTGCTGCAGAAAAGAGCTGAACAAATTAGGACTGTCGACGGTAGTCTCACCATCAAGTTCAATAGTAGGTTCAGTCTCGAGGGTGGCTTCTCCATCTGCAGGCGTTGCATTATGAATTATTGGAGCTTGTGGAGGCTCAAGCTGCAAAATAACGTCAACGAGGACGGAGTCCCGAACACGATGGAATAGCGGGTCCGACATGTGTTCGAGGACATCGCGAGAGATCAGAACCTTTTCATCTCGCCCCAATGCCAAGTTTCCAATACTGTAGATCCTCCAGGCCCGCTCAGATGTCTCTGGGGGGTCTTCTACGAGCAAAGCTATCTTTAGTCCAGTGAGACTGTTGATCGCAATACCATCGCTCCCCATACGGACGAGGTTATGCCCGCCGAACATGATATTGAAAGCGCTGCCCATAGTTTGTTGGCCATTGGAAGCGAATTCGATTACTGTCGTCTGAGATTGTTTTGACACGGCGCAGATTCCGTCGGTTGGAAGCATGTAACTCGGCAACGTCCAAGGGAAGTAGGTGTAGTTTTCTATTGGCTTCTCTGAAAGTCTTGTCTGTGATTTAGAACCGCCCAATTTGGCGACCGGGTCTTTCGACCCACCGTGAATGTTAGGCACTTGATGAAGTCGAATTAGGGTCGCAGCATTGTAAAGGTCTGACCTCGCAGCAGTAGCAGAGCCGGATAATGGGGGAAGAACGGGCGGTCGAGGACACGTATTGGTAAAATGGGCATCGTAATAGCTTTGAATGGCCCTTTCTGATGACTTGTGGACTTGGGGATTGGTGTTCCCCTTTCGAGGGATAATCAAGGGATGCCCCTCTGTAGTAAACACATACGAAGCATCAAGCTTGTTTAGGGGATGATCTGGGTCAAAGAGTAGATATAAGTACTTGGCAGTCTCCCCCAGAAAGAAACTCTCCATTCGATCGCTCTTCTCCCCAGTGCGCACATCCTGCAAGCCAGACCACCCACATTTCGTCCAACATCGCCTGTTGATATCTTTTAAGACCATTTCGCCTACGTAAAGGTACCAGGGGTCTTGAGTAGCACGATATAGGTGGTAGGTAGATTCGATGAATTCTGGTCGGCCGGGCCACCATCCGAGACCACCTTCTACATTGCCATCGCGGACGGACCATCGCTCCGGAAGGGCAGAATACCTAGTCCATAGAGCTGAGTATACGAGATGCGTCTCGATGGCTTCGTCAAGCTCCCCGGCGAGCGCTAATAGGCCCGAGTAATATGCACCTAGACTGTCTATCCAATATGCTTGTGGCGAGCCAGTCGACATGTGCGCATTTACGTAGTGCGGATGATGCAACCCTGAATAAAGATGCCGTTTAATAGCAGCATGTGCATGGTGCCACGCTGATAAGAAAGAATCAGGGGAGTTATCCTCATCTGAAAGGGGATTGTAGATTTGATTGGGGTCGAGCCAGTCCCCGTCAGGAACATGCGGTATTGTCCGATTGGGGAGCTCATGACCTGACAGCAGGATATGGGTCTTGAGAGCATATTCAAAGAAGCTATCAATGCCCGCACCAATCCCAGAG